TGAAAGTTTGCTGGAAGAAATTTGTGTATTGGTAGTACCGAAAACCGAAACAGGATCGCCTTGGAGGAGTGAAGAGTGTCGGATTGTTCTGAGAGGTGCTCATCCCACCGGCCTGCGAAACGGAGTAACCCGGTCTAAGCTGTTCTTCTGTACCGCCGTGACAAACATCATCAGAGCAAGCATGCATAGCTTAAAGAAATAGCTCAACGATGTACCAAACTAGGATAAAAGGTTTAGGACTCAGATTCAAGATGTTCTATAGACTACATAGTCTTGAAGATATGAAGACCAAGATGTTGTGGCCTCTGTTAGGGTCGCAGTCTCCTTTCAATTTCTAGAAGTAGGCTGACCTCGTTGTCGCAACTTGGTCTTGTTTTAGAATGTATCAAGTCCACTGTCAGATGCTGGGAATCCAGACAACTACTATGGCAGACGACTTCGGACTCGGTGTGTTCTACATAGTCTCCCCGAACACAAAGACCAATTTGCGACAACGAGGTCAACCTACTTCCATAGTCTTGGTTCAGTATTTTTCGTTTTATAAGTAAGTTTTCGAGACATACGAGGTGGTTTCACCCTATTTCATTAAGGTGAGAAAGGACTGGTAGATGAATTTTCCCACATTGAAATGAGTAGACTTTGAGTTTTTATCGAAACCTTAACGAAATAGGGTGAATACATCTCATATTAGTTTAATATATTGGTGGGCTATTTCGTCAAGCCGGAATTCTTGCTTTGATGATGCCTGTCATAGCCATACAGATGCAAGCTTAGCACGGGTTCGTGGAGTAACAGGACAGTTAGCCGAACACTTCTTTGCACAATCCAACGGTCTTTACTGCCCAGCAGTCCTACGGTTTCCGGTAAGACGAATTCTGAAAAATTCCTTCCGACCAACTTTTCTTCCGCAATGGAAAATTGAGTTACAATAACTTACCTTGTCATAAGTCCTGCCAAAGAATTCATGACAGTTGTCAAATACGGATACTGAACTTGGAACACCTCTGGAATAGTTCAGTGTAGATAAGGTGGAAATTGTAAA